CACACCAATATTGCATTCATTGATAGCATATGATGTAGCTCTCTCCAATATTGTAAAAAAAAAAAAGAGAGAGGATAAATTATGCATCTGCATGGAAAAAGAGTGTGTGCCGTAGATAAACGAATGTTTAAAGCAAGCAACCCTCTTACGTGTAAAACAAGAGAAGTTAAAATAATATGATCAAGCATTTTAGTATGAATGACGGTCTTAACTTGCTGGGATTGGGAACACCAGTGGCACTAATAAAATAATGGGAGTTTCACTAAAACACCTAAAATGGGGGCTAAAATTATAAAAAAACCCAACATCCAAAACACTTTATAAACACACCCAAAACTCATCATTACACACACTCGAAACTTATTTATAAACACACCCAAAAAATATACAATTGTTGATTTTGGGTATGTTTCTATGTTTAAATAGTGTTTGAGTTATTTTATAAATACATGTCTAGGATTGAGTTTATTTATAAATTTGTATAAAATAATTATATGAAACAACGGCACTCACAACAAGATCAGTCTCCCACGAGAGAGATGAAAAGATAAAAGAATCAACTACTTCACATTATTTTGAAGGAAGCATGAATTTGTTACAAGTACAATATTACATCTTTGGTTACACAGTTTATTCACTCCTAATCAAACGAAATACAAAAATCAACAAAACGTGTTAGAAACTTTGAAGATATTCTTTGTCTCCTATACAACAAAAAAAAATCAATGAATTTGTAAGACAAACCAAGTAATTAAGAACAAATGTGAGTTTTTGAAGTAATTACTTTTTCTCTTTTGTGAGATTGTCAAGTAATTGATTGTTTTGTGTGTGTATTAACATTGATCCTGAAAATCGTATTTATGGTCAATCTTGTATGCTCCTTCTCCTTCTACCTCCAGTAAGTTCTGCAACACCGCATCAGAAGCGTCTCTCAGGAACTCCGACCAATCCCTAAAGAAAACCCAAACAAATAAACAACCAATATTAGTGATCGATCCAATAACAAAGATATAAAATTATGTTATTCAAAAATGGCAGTCTAATTACCCTTTGGAGGAGTCGAAAGTAAGTCCAACGGTATACTTGGCTTCTTCAAGCGCCCAACTGAACCTTTGAAGTTCAACTGGAGAGCAAGTTCCATTGTCCCTGACCCTAAGCTGAGACGGCTTTACATTACAGAAAACTGGTATCACCCTCTTCTTGGACTCCATTAACAGAGCCAACTCATGAAGACAAAAGTATGATTCACAATACTGAGGCGAAAACACGGCAAGCCCCACCTTGCATTTTCGAATCGCAGCATCGATTTCATCGAACAGCTTGTCCCCGGGTTTCATGTTCTTGCTGTCCAAAAACGGATGCAGCCTGAGCCGCGAGAAATGGTAAAAGAGCAACCCGGCCACGGTTCTCTTGGTGTCAATCCCACGGTGGTTAATGAACACGTCGCATGGCCTGGAATTAACGGTTTGGATGTGGTTGCTTCCTTGGCGAAGAATTTTGCGAACCAAAGCTGGAGAACGCTGCATGGCTCCTTGGAGAAGCTAACGAATTAGGTACGGTTTTATGTACTTTTCGTTTTGGTTATAAAGAATTTTTCTGTTGTGTTTGTTTTGTATTTTTCTGAAGGTTATGTTGCTGTTTGTAGGTGTGAGAGATCTAGACATAGGGCTTATAAAGAGGTCTGAGAAGGGTTTGATTTGATTTTGGGGTCCATATTCAAGGAAGAATTCTAAGATTCAGATTGGACTTGAGAAAATGCGCGGTACTTATTTAAGCAAGACACAGAAAATAAGAGTACGCGAGCCTTGAAAATTTTGACTATCTAGGCTTTATGGAACAGTATAAACCTTCAAACACGTCATTCCACGTATCTATTTTTATATATGTACAAAAACATCTGCTTACTTGGTCACTCCACCATCTTTTGCATGATTTCAAGGGCCAGGAAACTTTTGCCAATTAAAACCAAATGATGGATAGAACTTTTGATTTTGATGAAAAATTAATGCAAGTTTGGAGATAATAAGCAAGAGAAGTGAAGGAAAAATTAAATAGCTAATCAGAAAACAAACATGTAATTAAGGAAATCTATTCTTCTGTTGGAAATTAAATCTTGTAATTGATGGATTGTAAATATTGTAATTGTCTTCCCCAAGGTTTATGGGTCAAACCTAGATTGTAGCCTTAATTAGGAATTATGCTAGAATATATAGGAGATTGTAAACCTATAGTATATAAAGGATGCAATCGAACCACACAAATACATCAGCACCTAAGAGTATTGGTGCACGTTTTGAGAGTCTCCAAGGTTTATGAAGAGCCTAGAGAAGTGTTTAGGGGAAGAACTGTCCGAGTCCTAATATATCTCCTAATACGTATTTACATTTATTTATAAGTAATGGAACTAAGAATAAATGGAATGATTTTCATTACTACATTTCTTTGCGTTTTTTTACACATAATAAATCATTTAATAAGCGAGTCGTCCCGCCTTAAAATCATTAATCAAGAAAACTTCTTCAAATACATGCGCAATGCAGAAGTTATATAGGGCCGGGTGTTTTTTTTAGGGTAATAAATTGGTCTTAGATGTCGTTAAACTTTACTACTATTGTCTGTGCGTGCATTGGAGCTAGTAACATAATATCACCATTATAGCCTAGTTAAGAATTAGAGTACTAATCCATTATTAAAGGTGATTAACAGTACTAATATTAACATGTATATCCCTTTTTAGCATCATCGGACAAATGCATCGGTTTTTAGCCTTAAAAGGCATCGATTTTTCCCCTATACCTGTTATCACCTTTTGGTAGTATGTGGGAATTTGAGCATCGGTTTGGTGTCTCTGTTGCCGCGTAGGATCATAATTAACTTAATTAAATTAGTTTGATTGTGTCAATGTCTGCGAAAGCGTAGATGTATTAAAATGAACGTGAATTTGGACTAAAAGGACAACGTGCTCTTTGACTTGGTGGTTATGAAGGAGTGGGGACCTCTGTGTCTTGTACTCATTATCGAAAGTGAATGCACAGAAGAAGTCCCTTTGTCTTACATTAGCATGACAACATTTTAGTATTAGTTTCTTTCCTAAAGCTTGTCCACATGAACTCCAACTTATAAACCCTAATGTGAATATCTAAATTGCTACTCCATCTCAACCAAATTTGAGCAGTTGCTGTGCGGTTTAAAGTTTGAAGGGTTTCCACTCGTATTCTCATATGCAATGAGAACCACAAAAACATTGATTGTATATGTATCTTTCAAATATGCGTGGTTGCTGTCATTTTGAACATGAATTGAAGCTATGCGGTAATGGGAAGTGGAACAAATTTAAACGACGAGGAAATTCATTTGGGCATGTGTGTTTGGGATCTGAGTGAATCTTGTTGGCAACAAATAGTAGATTGTGAATAATTATTTGAAGGAATTTCGCATATAATTTCTTGGTAAAATCCTTGTGTGTGCCCTATATGACATGTATGTATACGTATGTAGTGTGTAACAGTCAATTACTCAATGGACTCGAATTGAATTGAATTCATGCAAATACCCCGTCCCTCCTTTTGCATGTGTTATATTTGCCATGAAGTTAATTTTCCATAAACTTCAACTAGGCCTGCAGTTGATCTCCTAACTAATTAGTCCACTGCAACTAGGCCAGCAAATTAATTTTTTTATATATGGCACCCTCATTATAGAATTCATGTCTAGTTGAAATGCTACAGTGATGGTATCATATATGAACTCCCCATATAACGACTCCGTCAAAATAACCATGTTTGGGTTTTGTTTTTATATTTATTGGTTTCTACGTTGGGCTAGGCTAATCCCAGCACTATTTATTTGGGCTCAGAACCAGTCAACTTGTTGGAGCCAGCCAGTCCGAATGCTTGGATTGAGGGCACAAGAGTGCCGCATTCTAAGTCCAACTTACATCCTAAATCTTTACTTTGATCTGTTCTTCTTCCTCTCATTCAAAGCCGTTTTAGTTTCTGGGTGCTCCGAACACGGCAGTTGTGTGGCGTTGATCCTTCCTCATTGCCAATAAGTTTCCTCCTTCGAGAAAAGAATGAGGAAAAGGAAAATAAATACATTCAAAGCCCTTCCCTTAATTGCACTTATACAACGAATATCAATTCAGCTACTAGTCACAGTATATAACTCAGGAATTAAATGTCACTTTTCCCAGCTGTCTCCTATGGTTTTCTTCACTTTATATATCAGTATTTTTATTTCATTATATATTATTGGATTGGAGTACAACACGATCTCTTTTGAAATCGGGATTGAAATTTTTCAAAGGAAAATAGGAGAGAAAATACATATACAAAAGAAAAAGTGGTCTGGTGGGTAATCTGTAAATTTCTTTGTAAATCCGAAAACGTCTGGGGTTTGCCCTGGCCCTGGGTGTGGGGGTAGCCTCTCCCTCCCCTAAACTTTCCTTCATTTAATAAAAATAAAAAAAAGTAAAAAAGTAGTGAACTTACAAGGATATGTTACTTAGGCTCAAAACCACCATATTATAAATCGTGCATGAATACATGTGTTCAGCAATTCTATAATGAGGGCCTTATACCCAACCAGACCCATTACAAGGATGTTCTCTATCTACCATTAAAAGTTAACCTCCGAAATAAAAATATATTCGGACACATTTTTATCACTTGGGGATTTATCAATCTGCCAAGCAATGTTTTATTTTTGGTGCAAACCTGCCAAATAATTCTCAAGTGTTTATATTAGGGCATCTTTTGTTTTTCTATGCCAAGATTAATCTTAACCTTAATTCTTACTTGAAAGAACCCTAACAAATCTTATATAAATTTTTAAAAATGTACAATTTCACTGACTTCAGACAAAACTCAGGACAGGTTGTTGTTGGATCTAATGGATGTTATTTTGACATCAAAGCTGTAGCTTGTACCACATGACAAAAAATCTCAAATTAGTTCATGATTCTAAAATAATCCCGCCCGCCTTTATGATTCGCATGTGCAAAAGCTTCATCATTTCTCGCTGTCTCTACCCTGTTTCTCTCTCTCTGTCTCTCTCTGTCTCTTTCTTTTCCATTTCAACTTGAACAACTGTGGAATGTGACCTGCGGAATGTGACCTGCAAGTTCAATCAAGAAGATGACATTCTAGTGTTTGCCTTTGCATACTGACATTATATGCACTTGTAGTCTCTGTTTCCTCTGTTTTCTCCTTTTCCCTGGCCATGGACTCTGGAGCTCGCCTCAACTATGCTTTGTTTCAGCTCACTCCAACTCGAACCAGGTACTATGGATTTTGTATTTCTGTCTTTCTCTGCCCACTATGTCCAATTTCACTCTGCTTGCTTATTCTCTGTCTTTCTATTTGTGTATAAATAAATGAGTGAAGATGTGACTTGGTGATCTTCTATGGAGGCAAATCAGAGAAACTAGCATCTGGGTTGTTCCAGCCCTTTGTTTCTCACCTCAAATCTGTAAAAGATGAGATTTCTAGAGGTGGCTATTCAATTACTCTTCGCCCGCCCACACCTCATGCACCCTGGTTCACCAAATCCACCTTTCAAAGGTAATTCTCAAACTTCTTTTGGCCTTTTGTATTGTTAATTTGTGAAATTGCCCACTAGTGTAATTGATAGTTTGTTAATTTAGATAGACAATTTCTTTTGTGGTTATATGGGGCAGATTTGTGCGCTTTGTCAGCACACCAGCAGTTCTGGAGAGGTTTGTCAGTATTGAAAGGGAGATTTTGCAGATTGAGAGTTCAGTTCAACTGGAGGAAGGTATCTCAGTTTTCCTTATGGCTTATACGTGAAAGATAGTTCTTTTTGGTGGTGTATTGGGTTCTGTTCTATTTGTTGAAAGTATTGGTTTTGTTAGGTCTGCTCCGTTTGGTTGCTGAGAAAATGTTGGGTAAAAATAAGGAAAATCCTTCTCTAGGAGCCATGACTTGTTTTCTTTATTTGCTTATTAGGTTGAGATAGGGGAGAAATCATTTTGTTTGTATCAGCCTACCCAACAAAACCATTATTGTAATAAAATGCAGTAATGTGTCCATTGAATGAAATGGATCCGAATGAAATGATTATGCAGAAATACAATTTAAGACACGCTTTATTTGTCAGTGTAAATTCTTACATTATGGGTAAAATGTCAATTAATTTAGATCAAAGGAGGACTTGAATTTTGTACTTTCATCTCAAACTAACTTTTGTTGCTCAGGAGTTGTCTCTGCCGATCGGAGTACAAGGAAGCCAACTGATTCTTTAAAGGTATTTTACATATAGATTCACAAGTTTTAACATAACCAGTCAGGTATTTTGAAGAATTATACCTCATTACTTTAGCTCCTTAATTGTTTCTTTCTAGAAAAGAGGCAAACTTGAAGAAACAGAGGATGTAGCAGAACACGAGAACTCCAAGTAATTGTTTCTTTTGGATGGCTACAATTGGTGAAATACAGTCTCACTTACAGTGTCATTCAGTATCTTTATCATTGATTCATTCGGGATTTTTTGTAATATAGGGTTCGCCTTCAACGTATTTTGGAGACAAGGATAGCATTGCTTCGGAAGCAGCAAGCAATGGCTTATGCTCGAGGCCTAGTTGCTGGGTTTGAAATCCACAATATAGATGATCTCATTTCTTTTTCGGATGCATTTGGAGCTTTGCGCTTAAGGTATGAACTGGTAACCAGTAAGGTTGATCATTTTATTTTATATTATATTTTGTATTATGGATTGTTTCTGTTTCATTCATCTGTTTTAACACTTCAAAACATGCCACCAGATAGACCTCAAATGCTTTGTTTCATTCATCTGTATTCTAGTCGCTTTTGCATGGTCTACTTTTCACTTCATATGGAGAAATTAAATTTAGGTCATCTTGCTTTTCCTTAATGTTGAACCTGCTGGAGTCTCATAAGATTAAGTATTGTTTACATGGTAGGGAAGCATGCATTAACTTCAGGGAAGTATACAAGAAAAAGCACACAGATGGTTTATTTATGGAAGAACTAGCAGCAATGGTGGCCTCTTCACCAGATTTGCAATTCGCAGGAGCATCTGGAATCACACTTACGAATGAAACAGATGTCACTAATCAAAATGTTATGTTAAATCTTCCCAATGCAGGTGTCCCTACTGGTGAAAAAGTTCAAGCGCCAATGCCATTTCCAAACCAGATTCCTCAATACTTTTACAGTTCGCTGGGCCATACAAACCAATTGCCTCCATACCATGGATATCCCTTTCCTACTATGCAGTCTTTCCCTCCTCATTATCCAAGGAACCTGCAGTGGCCTCCCAACATGGAGGAAGCAAGCTTTCGTATGGAACCCAACCATCATAGGGTTCAGAAGTCATCTTCAAGAAGGAGGAAGAACTCCAATAAAAAAAGATCTGAACATTCAGGGGAAGGCAAACAAATTGAGTCCAGCGACTCCACTTCTGCGAGTGATTCTGACTCAGACACAGTGCAAGAGAGAAAGCATTCTGATATGGAGAATTCATCCAAAAATAAGTTTAGGAAGAAATCCTCTAGAAAAGTGGTTATTCAAAATATTAACTACATCACACCCAAGAGGAGAGATGGGAATAAAGGTGGAGTTTCTGATGAATCTTTTTCAGATGAGGAGTTTGATGATGAAAATTCCCTCGAACAAAAGTCTGATAAAGCAGAAGTATTGGAGATATCCCATGAGTCAAATGTCGACAAGAATCACTGTATTTTGAATGGATCAAGTAGTGAGGATTTGTCAGTTAATACTGATGAACATTTTCTAGCGAGGTCTGAAGGTGGAGATTCATTAGCAGGCAGGCCTACTTTGGGGCTTGATTTTGAGAGAATTCCGAAGAAACTAACAGCTGGAGCTGCAGTTGATCCTTTGGTTGTGATGGAGAGGAATGAAAGAAATGATTATACAGTGAAGTTGGAAGATTTTCAAAATGAAAAAAGTTTCGGTTCAGTTATGGAGAGAAAGGATTGTGAAGATCGGGATATATTATTTTTGCAGAGATCAGAAAAGTCAGGAGCTGACATCAGGTGTGCATTTTCTGCTTCTGCTGCTGAATCTACTATAACCAAGAGTTTGAGGAGCGAAGATTGGTTTGTTGTCAATCACTCAGAAAATACAGAAAACTCGAGAGTACCAATTTTGCAAACAATTTCCGATGGTGATTGTATTTTCGCATTAGAGAGAAAAGACATGGGTGTGGATGATTCTTTCTTTATACAGACTAGATCAGCATCTAATGATATGTATGAATCTCCATGGAAAACTGAAATAAACATGGATAACAATCTGAGTTTAGCTGCCAAGAAGGAAAATGGCACTATAGATAATGCACAAGATAAGCATGGAGCACCGAAGACCTCTGAGCCAGATGACCTTTCAATGATTCTGGAAAGGGATTCAAACTTGGAGTCTACTGCAATTTCTTGGAGTATGGACTATGGAGCAGAAATTTCATTTCCAGATGCCAACCGAAGATCTTCTGGCGTTGAGACAACTGATGTTGTGGATAAGAAGCTTGCTTCAAATGGTATGAAGAACAATAAATCTCCTGGAACAAAAGATGGTGGAAAAGAAGCAAGGTCTAACATTGTACGGAAACCACTTAACAACAGAATTGATTTCAAAAGCAATAAAGCATCTCCTGCACGTAGGCCTATGATACAAAAGAGCAAATTGGAGAAGGTAAATGATGATCATGCAGTTGCTTATCATGAAGTTGTTGTTTGGTACCTTTCATTGTCTAACTTCTTTATACATTTTTATTAATTTATTTTTCTTCGTTGGAACCTGATGAATATGCTTGTACACAGGAAGAAGAAATTCGGAAAAAGATGGAGGAACTGCGGATAGAACGCCAAAAAAGAATTGCTGAGAAAACTGCAGCGGTAGCACCCAAAAGAGTTCCATTAGAGAGTAAAACAGCTAAGGGCTCCATTAAGAGTGACAAGAGCAAACTTCAATCTACAAAGAGAACTCTACATCTGTAAATGGATATACAAAGCAGCCGCAGCCACAAGTACAGTCTATACACATGAGGGCTGATTTGGCCTACAACCAGTTTGAGCCTATGAATTCTTGATTGAAACTCCCATATAGATTTGTTCATAGTTATAATATCCCTTTACTATACCTTTGGCATGATGCTTCTACTATTTGTTTCAGAGTTTACTGCCTCGCTGAATTGGCAATTCGTCTTATATGAGTTGAAGTGCAAAAAGATGCCATTTGTTGCCAGGAAAATAAGTAGATGTGTGTCAATTGGCATACCTGGATGCACAACGTTTACATATTTTTACATTCATAAGCTGGGATAAGGAATTTGTATCCCCTTGGTTTCTAATTGAATATATGCACGTTTGAATATATCCCCCCCAAAAAAAACTTGTTTAATGCTAACTGGTTGTTATGAGTTGGCATACAAACACGTATTGTTTAATTAATACAATAATATGCAGGTACTAGTGTGGCCAGGCCTCTCTAATCTTCAATGCAAGTAACCTCTGCCGGTGCCGGGGGGGCATGGACTTCCCCCAAAATGGATTGAAGTCTTCGTGGCGAAAAATGAATATGTGCCATTTTAATGCAGGTTCCACCAGAAGTGAATTGTGCAAGCTAAAATGTAACAGGTTAAGGCTCGCTTTATACAAAGTGCAAGAACAAACTAGCCTCTTTTATGGTAGATGATCTTCCTTTGTGACCAGGCCAAAATGACCCAGTAAATTTGGTGAAGGAAAGGGATAGCAAAGATTCAACTGTCCAAACATCAAATGGGGTAGTCAAATCAAAATACAAAACAAATGAGATATGAACATTGACTAACACCAAAAGGCATGGTTCTCGGGTAAGTTTTTGGTATGCTTGGCATGGATAATTTTTATATATGATCAATGTTGTGTTGGCCTTGGCATAAAACTCGACCTGTCCCATTCTTAGGGTGATTAGGGACAACACGTTCGATATCCTAAGTCCAGGAAGATTCTTATATACATAAGTACATAAATATTTTTACATATGTCCAACATTTTCCATTCTCAAACATACCGAGTTGGACGAGAAAAACTTACATACCCTGGAGTGATCGGACAATTGTGTCCAATTAGTTGGAGTAAATAACAAATTTTATAATTATTTGTAAATCACTCAAAAAAGTTTTATTTATTTAAAAAAATAAAGAATATTATTTTGACCCAGAAAACCTCCACTCACCAACAGCTACCATTACTTAGTTACTAACCTCGCCTCTCCCGCCATTTGCATCCTGAAAAACATGTGGTGGTACATTATATATATATAACTATGGTCCAACTGAGCCTAAATTAGGTGAAAAATCAGTGCTTAGATGTGGTTTAACTTATAATACGGATCTTTTTACAATACATATCTGTTTAATAGGTTACCAAGTTTGTTCCAATGGATAATTATTGAATTTAATTTTGTGGAAATAAAAATGGAAATTTTTTTTTATAAAAAAAATTCTGGTAGAACGTTATGCAACCACCGCCTCATCTTACACAGATGAAAAGCTGTATCATTCTGTTTTAGCTGTCAGCCGTCAAAAATCTAGCATCAGTTCCTGCTATTACGGAATGCATGATATGCTTAAACTAAACAGGTAATTAATTTAATTAATTAATTAAAAAACACAGAACAAAAATGAAGAAATTACGTAATTAACAAGCTAGCTCTAAGACCGTTTCAAGAAAAGAAAAAGAGAAACTTAGGTCTAAGACAGCTACTACAGCCTATTCTCTCAACGCGGGATGATCCTTAATAAAGCCACTTTGGCATTCAATCTCTCCTTGGCTTCTCTCTTCCCAGAGAAAGTTCCGAGGCAGAACACAACACAAATGGTTGTCCCATTCACATGTACAAACTAATCACCCCAAGTCCTCTGCACGTAATCTTTTGATTCATCACCTCTTAGTTTGTTTTTCAAATCCAAAACAAACAAACAAAATCTTCTCTTGTTGAAGTTTGAAATTTGAAAAGTTCTGCATTTTTATATTTTGGAGTTGGATTTTCAAACCCAAGTAAGGCTTAAGGGTGTGCTGACCAGTAATGGTAAGCACCCAATTGCATCATCATTCAACAGCATCATCATCCATTCGTCATCATCGTCCTCATCCTAGTCCAGTTCAACTCTTTATCACCAGTCTTTGCGTTGGTTCAAGCCATGACTCTCGGAAACTGCTTTGGTCCATTGTTTCGTCGTAAGCCTTCTGGAATGAAGGTACATTGATCTTGTCTGTTTCTGTAAAACCTCATGCTTAAATCTCCAAATAAAACAAGACTGTCTAAATCTAGACATTCTAATAATCTTTAAGGCAACAGGGCAGGAAACCATTGTTTTCTGTCAAGATTATGTTTGTTGCATTGCATGCAGCATTCAGCTTTGCCATGATGAACTCCATAACTGGGATTTTTTGTTAACCTTTATGATCAAGGCCAGTTTCAACAACATACCTACCTCTTCAGTTCTATTGCTTCTTCTTTTTTTCTGCCAGTTTTCTCATTACTTCACGCCATCCATTTCAATTAGCATTGCAATATAGGAAATGAATCTTTGGTAAGGTGTCAATGAGCAATGAGGTCTAGGCTATAAAATCGTTTACATGAAAAGAGTTGCTCTGGCTGCAGGGAGGGAAAGACTCTAGCCAGCCCAAGAGTCCGCCCTTGAAACAGAAGAACGCTTCTAGGAGAGGCATGCCAAAAAATAGGTCTTTCAGAGATTCAGGCAACCAGATTATGATGATCGAGCTCCGGAAGAAGATCATCATCTTCATGGACATCATCGACCTACCAGCTTATGATGCATCTGCTGCCACAGATGAGGTATGTGTATGACTCATTGGCTGCCTTCCTTTTTCTTTTCTTTTTTTAATTATGTTGAAATCTTGTGTTTAATTTTCTGTATTTTACAATCTGTTTAAGATTTAATCTCCCTGCTATTTCCTGCTTGCAGCTGGTGATGAGGTTGATGAGAGATCTCCAAAAGCTTTACCCTGAAATTGTCCTGCATAATCAATTATCAGAACTGAAGGGAGCATCAACAGAACAGGTAAAATCCATAGTTACATTACACCAAGAATATATGGCTTAAATGCAGCTGTAATTACTCTACGTTATTAAGCTTATGAACAAATTTAATATCTCCATATCCATACAGGTCCTTGCCTCCTTCTGCAAGGCATTGAAATCTATAGGAGAGTCTTGGATGACAAATCATGACAGGTTGGACAAATTGAGTTATGATTTGCCATCATTCAAGGAGGATGTCAATTCGGATCAACTTGGTTTGTTACAAATTTTCTTTAGGATTCATTGAGGCCTCTATTTGGTATCGGAAACAAAAATCTAACTGCTTCTTCCTGCCATAATTTTTAACCTAAAGTTGATGATCACTCTATATGATTGTAGTTGAGACGGTGTTGGCAACACTCGATTGCTTGATCAAGATGGCAAGGGACAAGTTCGATATGATGGATGAGGATGACCAGAAAGGAGAAGGCTACAGCCCTCTGAATAGCTCATTTGGAAAATTCTTGAGCGATTCAGAGAGCTGCACCTCAGTCTCCAGCTGCTCTTCTCCAGTCACTCCATCCTCTGTCCTGCCAGAGCTGATTGATGGTTCTCCCCAGGCTCGAAAGAAGGCCAATGTTGGTTCCAAATCACCCCTTCTTTGGACTCTCAGAGTGCAAGCAGTGGGGAAACTGAACCCGATTGATGTTAAGCACTTGTCACTTCACTTGTCAAAACAAGGATCCCATGGCACCAGCAATGGTTTGGACAAGAGTGGCCAATTGGTTGAGGAACCATCAATTGAGGCAGATTTAAAGAGCAATCCTGAAAAGGCAATTGCAGCAACTGATGATGAGGAAGTGAGACATAGCAGCGCTCGAAAGGACACAAAAGAAGTCCCAAATCCAAGTTTGAATGAGAATGCTAAGGGAACGGAAATAGACAACACAAGTGATGATGTTGAAACTCCAACCACAGCCCCTGAAACTTCGGAAGCAGACACCACACAAGTGTCTTTGCCTCCACCCTCACCATCAACATTGTCACTAAATCCACCACTGTCTTCGCCCTCAATACTACTACAACCAACAACATCAACATCTTCACCTCCACCCTCACCATCCACATTGTCACTAAATCCACCACTATCTTCACCCTCAATACTGCAACAACCAACAACATCAACACCTCCACCACCACCTCCGCCGCCAACGGGACTACAATTTTCACTGCCTAATACATTAATAGAAACAAAAATACCAGTGCCACCAACACCCCCTGCACCAGCATCACCGCCTACATTGCAGCGAAATGTTGCAACGCCGCCGCAGCCACCACCACCACCACCATCACTAGCTGCCCTGCAGCCAACAGTTGCAGCACCCCCTCCACCACCACTACCAACATTAACACCACAAAAAGCAGCAGCAGCTGTACTGCCACCACCCCCACCACCTCCACCAATGGCACCACGATCAATACAAGTAGCTCCACCAACCCCACCACCTACACCAATGCCACCAGGATCAAGAAGAATGGGTCCACCACCACCACCCCCTCCACCAGGATCATCAATTGGAGGTCCTCCACCACCACCTCCTCCACCAGGATCATCAAATGGAGCTCCTCCACCACCGCCTCCACCAGGATCATCAAGTGGAGGTCCTCCGCCCCCACCACCTATGCTAAGAGGACAGCCAAATGGAGCTGCTCCACCCCCACCTCCTGCATTTGGTGCAGCAAGATCGTTGCGCCCCAAGAAGGACACTAAACTGAAGAGATCATCCCAAATGGGCAGTCTGTACCGCCTTCTCAAGGGCAAGGTGGAAGGATCTAGCTTGAATGGCAAGTCAGCCAATGGGAGAAAAGGGGGAATTGGGAGCAGCTCTGGTGGAAAACAAGGAATGGCTGATGCTCTAGCAGAGATGACAAAGAGGTATGTATGTTAACTTCCATAGACCCTCTATTTCTAACAACCATAGACAATAATAATCTTAGTAATTAAAGATTCTTCTGCCTTTCCTGTTTTTGTGCCTCAGATCAGCATACTTTCTACAAATTGAAGAAGATGCTCAGAAGTATGCAAAGCCTATCATGGAAATGAGAACTACCCTCAGTTCTTTCCAGACAAAGGACATGAGTGAGCTGATAGATTTTCAAAAGAAAGTAGAATCCATTCTTGAGCACTTGACTGATGAGTCACAGGTAAACAATCAATAATTGTGTCCTAATTAATCTGTTAGTTTCCATTATTCTGATCGTGACATGTTAATTTTCCAAACTGCAGGTGCTGTCAAGGTTTGAAGGGTTCCCAACAAGGAAGTTGGAAACAATGAGGATGGCAGCAGCTCTGCACTCGAAGTTAAATGTCATGCTAATTGAACTACAGAACTGGAAACTAGAGGCTCCATTGGGTCAGCTTCTTGACAAGACTGAACGTTACTTCAATAAGGTCCATAAATGTTCATTTTATACTGTCCTAATTAATTTTCTCTGCATTTTCCCTAACTAACCAAAAGAAACAAACAGATCAAAGGAGAAATCGACGCAATGGAACGAACTAAGGATGATGAAGCCAAGAAATTTCAGTCTCAGAATATTCATTTTGACTTCAATATCCTAATCAGGATCAAAGAAGCAATGGTAGATGTTTCCTCAAGCTGCATGGAAATGGCACTAAAGGTAGCTAGTCTGTTTAAAAATATAGACTCACAAATTAGCTAGTTGGGAAAAGGGGTTGTTGACATTGAAATGGGGCTTATGATTGTTGATGCAGGATAGGAGAGAAGCAAAAGCAGCAGAGCAGACTGGAAGAAAAACAGATCAGAAGCAAACAAAGATATGTGTTAAAATGCTTTGGAGGGCTTTCCAGTTTGCTTTCAGGGTCTACACATTTGCTGGTGGACATGATGATCGTGCTGACATGCTCACAAAAGAACTGGCTAATGAAATTGAGTCTGATCCCCACCACCACTGAGCCTAATTCCCAATTGATCTCCCTGGACTTTGAAACCAACAAATTATCCTTGTATAATCGTATCCTATACGAACCTTATACTCCTTATGATTAAAAGCGTTCTGTTTTGACAATACCCAAAAAACAAAAAAGCTTTTCTTTTTGTTGCCACCCTTGTAAATAATCAGGTCCAAGAACAAAAACCAAAAACTTGTAAATTTAGGCTTTGTATGTATGAGTTATGATTTTGATTTAGGACTTGATTAGGACCACTTCCAGGCGGATATATGAGAAAATTTCGTCTTTGTTGTGTTCTTGCAAAATTGTACTGTCTATCTCTACTTGCTTGTTCAACCTTTATATGTGCAATATATATATATAGTTTTAAGTTCTTAGTTCCATGAGTTGGAGATTTTGTATATGCTTACAACCGTGATATATACAGATATAGAAGAATCAATGTTTCTTTCTGCTCAGGCCACCCATTTGGGCATTGGGTTTGTCTGGTTTTTTTTATCGGGTCCCCCTTTTTGAGCTTGGTAGCTTGTTTCCTTCATAAAACCGCCTAAAAGTTGTGGTAAATATTAAAATAATTTGGATTAAACTTAGGACGAAAAATAACAAAAAACTTATTATAATTAAGAAAAAATGTAGTTACCCTATAAAATATTACATGACCATTGTGTTTGAATCTCGATACAATACATGTATCATTTTCTTCTTTGGACGCCCAACCCAATGTATCATTTCATACATCGATTTCCTTAGATCATTGAGTAAATAAATAATTTATGTTATTCTATTTGAGCCTTGCAGTACTAGTACTCTTGGAAAATCAGCTCTAATTAATATATAGAAATGATCAGAAAGAAAAATACTAGTCTGATGTATGCATCATGAATATTTGGTACGAAGCGAGGATTTGTCGTTCGGGAAATACAAAGAGTATTAGGTATTGACTGGAATTACCTTACCTAATCAGATTATTTCAATATATAAGATTTACGCGTGGTATCCAACTGATAACTGCCTTGGGTATGAAATATATATATTTTTCTATTAGCAAGTAGCATTACTGGCCACTGGAGACCTTTAATGCATTTCCACAGTTGAACAAGTAAATAATTAAATGGTCAGAACAAAATTAAGTAAGGATTTATCGAAGTTAAAAATAGCACATCCTTGAGTTTGGTGGGTAATTGAGACAGCTTGATTGCCTATGCATGCATGGTGTACTTATTTTGTGAAAGGTTGCCAATTCGCTTTTATATAACTTAGTTAATGGGTCGTTTTTGTAGATGACATTTAACAACTCTAAATTAAAACTATATAGTTAGGACGTCAATTAAGAAATTGAAGTTGGTATGTGTTTTGGGAAATAGTAATTAGGAAACGGAAACCTCAATGAAAAGTACATATATTTTCAATTCAATCTTTTTCATGCTACTTAATTAGGGCTCTTTTGGAAGTGATGATTCTGGAGAGAAGTGATTATTAACCTATTCAGAATCACTCCCAAACGAGCTCTTAAGTTACTCAACTCAAATGGAAAAAAAAAAAAAAAAACCTTACTTTGCTTAGTATATATAGAGTTTCCATAGCTGTACTGCATTGTACTGCATGTTTGAAGTGTCTAAATTGTACTTGAAAGGGGTAAGATTGATATTGCACAGACTAAATTTGTGTATAAATAAACAGCACTCAAATGCAGTGGCTATTTCTTGCAAGTTCTCACTATCTATCTCTTCTTGCTTCTAAAGACACTAACGGTCTATGTAGGAAAGCCGACCACTTTGCCAAAAAGGAAGGGGAGTAGTTGAAAGCTGGAGAGATATGTCCACTCCAAAGCAAGTAAGTGCACCACCGTCACATATAGAAATTATTACAAGGCTGTTTTCTTTGCCTTCTAATTTTTATGCAATACTAGCCTTGGCACACTCTTACGCATGTGCCAATTGGTTTTATTTTTTATTTTTTATTTTATTTTTAGAATTAAAAAAAGATAACATGGGTAATTATGTTCCATAAAAGTAGGACTTATTATTTGATTTTGTTTTTAATTTTAATTTTAATTTTTTAATATGAAAATGTGAATTTATCATATTATCTTCATTTAATTAATAATTTAAATTCTTAATGTTTGAATTAACTAAGGGCATTTTCTGATATTTTGAATGTTTCACCATTTTCTGCCTTTTGCTTTATGTACATAGATTATTATTAGAAATAATGTTTGGGTACGAAACTATTAGCCTAATTGTCTACCAAGCTAGCTAGTAGCCTAAAATTGCCAAACTGTTCGTCACTTTAGTCAACTTCCATCCTTTCACTTTGATCGTTATAAACTTCTAGAATCGAAAATAAATTCAAAAGCATAACGCATTTTCAGGTTTGATTAGCTTTTACACATTCTGGTCAATCCATTTTAAGTCTTTGGTATTACGTGAACGTCTTGAACAAGTAGGGGCTAAGGGGCTCCTCCACTAACTCTAAGCATAGAAATTAGAGAAATCTAAATAAAACAAATTCATGAACAAAATGATTTCGAATTCATAATTCATTGCAAAGAAAGTGCCACTTCATCATCAAGTTTATTTGTACACGCCCATTCGATCATTCAAAAACAAGAAGAAGGAAAAAAAAACCACCAAATTAAAGGACTAAAACATGTTTGATGATGAATGGAAATTTGGTTTGCGCTTCAATTAATCTAAGAAGCAAATTCAATCTTGACACCGCCAATCTTGACAGCCCCGTACTTGGGCACCAAAGTCACCACCACGCTCTCATCATCCTCGGCATCAAGGTCCTCCAACAAGTCCGTCAACCCCAACCTCAAGATTGTGTTGATCTTCTTCTTGTGCTTATGCCTGTGCGGCACGCTCACAAAGCTTCCGGCAAATTCCGTCTTGTCGGGCCCACTCGGCAAGTCGTCCACGTCATTCACATACACGTCAAACTTCACCGCCACGTCCCTGTCAAACTCAATCCCTTCGATCACCAATATCTCCTCCTCCTCCTCTTTCTCCTTCTTGTTCCTCTTCTTCTGCTTTGGCCTTGGCACCACCGTGCTTATCTTGGTCTCCAGATTTATCGGGAACGCCCTCCCCGCCACGATCTGGGTGGAGCTCTCAGCCGCGTGCGCAACTCCCAGCTTCTTCTTTATTTTGCTCAATGCCAGCTTTGCCCTTCGCGGAGTTGGCTTGGACTGCAGCCATGGAATTTCAACCTCTTGGTATACATACCCTAGGCTCTTAGACTCCAGAGAGTCACGAACTTTAACTCGGACTAACTCAGCGTTCTCGTTGTAAAACAAGAACCCGGAGTCTAACCAGTCCGATTGAGAAATATCAGTTCTTTTGCCTCCCAGTGTTTTCCATATGCTCCACATCCGATCCACATTCGAGTGATGCGAGAAAAATATGGGGTCCCTGGCAGCGGAATAAAAGTTCCCCATGTCCTCAAAATTGGGCTGGGTGTTGTCACCTGTCCAGAGATGAACCGGCCCGTGCGGGGTCCCTTCGATCGAACCGCCACCAGGGTCAGGCTCGTCCCCAGCCCTGTATGGGTTGCCAAAGAAGAGCTGAGGGTTCTTGGCGTTGGACACCATTTGCCTGTACATGATCTTGAGGTTGGCGTTGATTTGGGTTTCGTTCGACACCTTTTCGTCGGTGCCGTTGTAGTCGAGATCGATGAGGGTCGGCGGCTGGTGGCTGGCGGCACGGAACTTGTCGTAGAGAGGGGACTTTGGGTTGGCGAAAAGCGCGGGCAGCTGCATGCCAGCTGGCGAGTCCCAGTTCCAAAAGGGCAAAGCGAATGTGGGGTCGTTGATGAGCTTGCCCAAGATCTTTTCGTAGAAGTATAGGTAGTAGCGGTGGAAGGGGAAGAAGAGCCAGGAGTTGTGGATTTGGAGCTCCAGATCCGGGAACCCGGCTTGGTCGTAGGCGCCGTCGCAATAAGCGCAATGCACGTTGGCTTGTTGCTTGAAGCTGCGTGGATCGTCATCGGGGAGGGCTTTCATGAGCTCGATGGCTTTGGAGTATTTCTCTATGTAGGCTTGGTCAACGGCGTGAGCAGCCGGCCTGACGCGAAGTTTACCGGGGGCTGGGAGTTTAAAGTCTATGATTTTGGTGGCCGGCGGTGGGCAGCAGTTGGTGGGGGTGGCGCCGGTTGGCAAGTCCGCAGCCCCACATTTAGATAGGTCTGGTGGGGTCACGGGCTTGGCAAAGGCGAACGGGTCTGTGCCCAGACCAGCCACGCCATATAGACCTCCGAGACCAAGAAGCACATTTCTCCTATCTAGTTTAGTCTGTGCTTGATCATTTTGGTTATCACTGTTTTTGGCTTTGCATGAAACCCTAGGTGAAAAGGAACGCTTGGGCTTTGAGAGTAGGGAAACTTGGGAGCTGTTTTGAGTGAAGGGAGAGAGAGGTTTTGTGGAGGTAGTGGGAACGGCTAGTGGAGGTGACAGAGAAGCCATGGTTAGCTCTCTGGCTTAGTTGGGTTGGATGGAATAAACCCCAAAGGAGGGTTGCTTTTTATAAAGGATTTTGGGTTTTACTTTCCTATCCAATAGGCAATAGCCACGCAGACAGCCCGATCTAGTTGACGGAAGAGAATTATAAAATATGATCGCCAATCACCAACACCGCGTGGCGTGGGGTATAGATTTGAGAACTTGCACAGAATCTTCTCTCCTTGGTAATTAAGCTGCTAATCGTAGTTCGAGGGGCTTAACTTTAATTATGTATGGTAAACAACGGTGATATCAAGAATTACTAAACAAAAGAATGTAATTACTCTCTCCTCTCAGCGAGATCTAGAATGTGAACTGGAATTTGTTTTTTTCTTCTTTTGTTAGCAAAAACGAGTTAATATGGTATATTTTTCCAAAGCAAACTTGGTTTTTGTCAAACGTCGGTGAGATTTTAGGCATGTGACAGAGGCCAGGTTCAAAGAATTCCTCCTATAGGCTATACATACTGTTTTAAAAATTTTGTTTTATATTTCTTTTATGGGTTTTTCTAATTTTTTTAATTTTGTGAGTGGGGAGGTTTAGTTCTACCAAATCCATTAGGCAACTGCCTAAATAAACTAATGCCTGACAGAAGGAAAAAGATTGTTTATTTAGCTCATGAACAAGAAGAAAGCTATATCAGTAGTGCTACTGATATTGATAATCCGTCGATGTATTTTATTTGTGCATCATTATTAGAAACAGTATATACTTCTAGTTGATCTACAGGCCTTAATCTCATCACTGTTTAACTCGTACATATAAATATAAAAATACTGCTTGAATACCATCGCTCGACTATTCTTAAAATTATTTTAATCACAACGAAAAGTGTGCTTTGAAAGAGAAAGATTTAAGTGAAATTCGTGTAAATTTACTCATGTATATATATCTCTCCTTATGTAATGTGTCAGGTGAGAAAAAGACAGAGACATAAAGATATGCACTATTAGAGACCATTAAAAGAAAAGATTTGGTAAAAAGGAGATAATGATGTTGATAATGTGGCAAGAAGAGTGGTTAATTAGGGGACTGGTAAGAGGACATCAAATTGAGAATAGTTTAATATTATATGGATGGCGTATGCGCACATTATTAAACGACTTTGAAATATTGGTACAGAAGATCTGAATTAATCCACGAGAGGATAACTTTATTTAAATCACATGTGGGCGGCATCAAGCATGTTGTTGAGGACTTTACGCTTTTGGGTCTCTCCCCCCACCTTCTCCTCTTGTTGGTTCCCCAATGTTTTCCATATTTTTTTAGTCCCAATATACGACTCCTCACATAAAAAATAATAGTAATTAAAAACTCCCCACGTAAAAAAATGATTAAAAAAAACTGATTTTTTTTTGTTTTTTTGTTTTTTGGGTACAGAGGAGGGCTTAAAGCCCCAAACCAAAAAGAAACTACTAAAAAACAAGACGAGGTCTAGCAACACCTCGAACATTAGCAACTAACATATCACTAAGAAAAGCTGGAACCACCTTACATCTCCATTTCCATATAAATCAGAGAAAGATAACAAAAACCAAATACCAGGGCAGGCCATGGATAAGAAGCCTCTTAGAATTCAAATTATGCAAAAGCCAGTCATCATAATCATCCTCACCAGCTTCCACTCTCCCAAAACCAAATCTATTCCAAATAGCAACAGTGGCAGCACAATCCATAAAGAGATGAGCACAAGATTCCAAAGGACAATCACATCTAGGACAAACAGCAGCATTAGTAAGCTTTCTCTTCAATCTTTGAGCATTTGTAAGTAACTTCTTATGGCACAGCAACCAGAGGAAGGTCTTAACCTTAGGCGGAACATGAAGCTTCCAAATAAAATCTCATTTCCAATTAACACTGCCCTCGTCCAGATAAAAGGTGCTATAGGCAGTTGTTGGCTGCGCAAATCTCACGGCCTGGTGCTCCAGGCCGAGGGGATGTGCGTTAACACGTGACGTCTTTCTTTTCGATGCGGTGCTGTTGTGCGCGGGTGTGCCAGCACAGTCTACCGTGTGTCGAAATAGTGATGGGGTTTGGGTAGAAGATGGTTAAATGATGCGTCTGTTTTGAGTTTGACTCTTAATCAAACGATTGTGGCCGAGAGAGTAACTGATCTCGGCCGTCAGGTTCATGGCCTGAGCTACAAGGCCGTTTAGTGGTGGTGTTGGTGACCGGTTTTAGGCGGTGCTCCGGCGCGTTGCTCAGAAAGCGACGGTCGTATGATATATGGGGTGAATGAGATGATAACAAAGATGGTGCTTCGGCGCCTTGAAAATCAAGGGTCGTATGATATATTGATGAATAAATTTTCCTTACAATCTACCACTACTCCTAGAAAAGCAAATAAATGTATTGAAAATGCATTACAGAAAAATATAATTTGCTCCGTGGGAGGCTTTTGGTTTGGTGTTTGAACCCTTTGAATGTAGTCTTGAGCTTAGTATTTATAACAGGAGTCCTGGAGGGACGATCGAGGCTGAAAAGATTTGCATGGTGGAGCCTGATCGGAGCAAGTGGGTGGTCAAATCGGCATTTGGGATCGTGAAGCATGGTGGTGTGACCCTCATAAATCCCGGTAAATCTCGGCCACCGCCCTGATCGTGGGTTCTGCCCCCTTGGCTGTGGGAACGCATTTAATGCCATAGTCTGGTGGTTGGTGATCTGACCTCAAGTTATAAGAATACTTGTGAGAAGGTTTGCGCCTAACCACTCTGATTTCCATCACCAAATCCTGACTTCAGTCACCTCCCTTCTTCCCTCGTGCATTAAATGCTTCTTGCGACTAGTGGGTTTGCTGCGATAGTCAGAGGCATTACTTCATTAAATTGGGCATAAGACCCTGAGGCCACGTGGCGATTTGACCACAGTATCTTCGGCCGTGTCTTTTACGGCCTTTAGCTTCGGCCTATAATACCGCGGTCGCGAGGCTGAGAGGATTCTGCCTTTGCAGCTTTTCTTCTGTTTTCAGGAAGACGACATGCTTAATGAAACGTGGCCGTTTCAGTTCATGAGTAGGTGCTAGGACCGAAAGGAAGTCCATTCAGTCAGTTTATGACCGTGATTTATTAGGCACAAACAACAGTTTTAACATAAAATTGGCCATTAGAGGTAGCCTGCCAGATGCATTTATCCTCCCTACTCCCATAATAGCCAGCATGAGTACTAAGAATCAAGTTGACAATATTTATAGGCAGACATTCCAATAAGCAATTGAAATCCCAAACCTCATCCTCTAAAAAGTCACTAACATTTAAGTGAAGCATGTCCTCAGATAAATCAATTAGAGCAAATTGCTGCAAAGGCCCACAACTAAGCCATCTATCAGTCTAGAACAAAATATCATCCCCAGACCCTACACGCCATTTAACACCTGCAGAAAGAACTTGAGCACCATATAAGATACCCTTCCAGACATTGGAGCTACTTTGGAACTGCAAATCTTTAGCAGCAAGAATATCGCAATGCCTTAGATACTTAGCATTAAACACTTGAGCCCAAAGACCTTGCTCACGTTGCAGTGTACGCTAACCAGATTTAGCAAGAAGAGCTTGATTTATCCAAGCAGAATTTTTAATACCTAAACCACCAGCAAATTTAGGCTTACAGATAGTGTCCCAATTAACCAACTAAACCTTTGCTTGATTCGTAGTATGCCCCTATAAAAAATTTCTGTTTAACTGATCAAGTTTTTGCCAAACAGCAACCGGCCATTTAGCAGATTGCATGGAATAAATAGGGATAGCAGAAGTAACTGATTGTAACAGGGTCAGACGACCAGCCATAGAAAGAGTATGACTTTTCCAAGAATATAACCTCCTTTGGACTTTATCAATAATCTCTTGATAAGTAGCTTTAGTGACTCGTGTGTGAATAAGAGAAACACCAAGATACTTGCCAAGACAAGTAGTAAGAGGGGAACCACATATAGTTGCAATAGCCTGAGCCAACTCAAGAGAAGTATTTGGAGAAACACAGATCATAGATTTCTCAAAACTCACCTTCTGACCAGAGAGACTACAAAAATCGTCTAAACATTTCTTCATAACAGTAGCCTGATTGACAGAAGCTTTTCCAAAGAGAATCAAATCATCAGCAAAGAAGAGATAAGAGATAACAGGACCGCTTTGGTAGATCTGCACCGGCTTCCAAGCCTAATCTTGGACAGACTACTGGATAATATGAGAAAGCTTTTCCATACACAAAACAAAATGATAGGGGGAAAGGGGGTCCCCTTGCCGAATGCCACAATTAGGAGAGAAAGTATCTGTTAATTCATCATTGAGAATCGCCCTATATCGCACCGAATTAATAAACTGCATTAAAAGCTCAAGAATTCTCCCAAGAATCCCAACCTCCCAAAGCACTTCTTTAATAAAATCCCAACTTAACCGATCATAAGCTTTGGATAAATCGATTTTCCAAGCAATGAAACCCTTCTTCCCTTTAGAACTTTTAAACTTATGCAGCATTTCTTGAGCCACAACAATATTATCAACAATTTGTCTTCTTGGGACAAAGCTCACTTGATTATGACTGACCAAACTAGCCATACAGGGCCGAAGCCAAGCAATTAGAATCTTAGAAATCAATTTATAGAGAGTGTTGCAAAGATTAATAGGGCGAAGCTGAGTCATGGAAACAGGTCTCTCAACTTTAGGCACCAAAGCGATCAACGTCTCATTGATATTCTCATGAAGAGAAGCAGTTAAAAAACAATCCTTCACCAAAGCAAACAACATAACACATCCCCCAACATTTCTGATAAAAAAGGGAAGGAAAACCATCAGGAACAGAAGTTTTTAATCCCCCAATAGCAAGTAGACTATTTTTAACTTCATCATCTGTAACCTCACAACTTAAACCTTCTAAATCCGTATCAACCAACCTAGGAAAAAGATGAGGGAGCAAACTATAATCATCAACCAGACCAGTATCACCAAACAACCCTTGGAAATAATTGACAATAGTCAGTTTCATTCCAACCTTATTAGTGATCCAAATTCCAGCCTCATTATTCAGACCTTCAAGTTTATTCCTCCTCCTTCTTATGACAATAGACAAGTGGAAAAAGTGAGTGTTTTTATCCCCTTCCTTTAACCAAGTATTTCTGGACTTCTGTAACCAAAACAACTC